TGGTTATGATGTGTGTAATGTGTTTGATAACTTTGTTCTTGTGTATCCAAGCTGAGATGGAAGGTGGTCCTAGTTATGCAATGTTTCTTAACCTTTAAGCAACAAAATGCAAGTTGGTGTTTTAGGTCAGTAGGGGACCTCTAATCCTGCTGCCAAGCTTCTCTTGATCAGAGTAATTTGTTCATAATCTTGTGCTAAAGAGATTTGGTTTGTACTTGCTTGATTTACCAATTAGACATAAAGTGAACTTTTGCAAAAATGGATAGTTTACTTTATCTAAAAATGGATTAAACTTGTATACAATACTTGAACTCATAGAATAACACTTTGACACAATGAACAAGCATTAAATTATTGAGTGTAACTTGGTTTAAGGACCTGTAATCAAGGGCATGCTGGTTTTGAGAAGTTTGCATAACTTATGAAAAAAATGGCCAATTTCAAAGTGAGTTTTTGCTATATTGTGAAATTCGATTCTCCCTGACCATGAGGTTGTTTGATGAGTTCTTGGACATTTTGGAAAGCTTGGAATGTTTACTACAATCCATATTTGAAGTGCAATTTGAAATTCCAAGTGGAAGTGTATGGAAAATGGCCTTGAAGTGGGGTAGAAAAACTTGTCAAAATAGGTCAAAAATTCACTAAGTTAAGAATGGTTTAGTACCCCTATTCAAAAATTTGTAACTTGAGATACAAGCTTCAAATGAGAAAACTTTGTGAATCAAAGTTGTAGATTATGAAACAAGCTACAACTTTCATGTTTTGACTTTTGTTTGAATCCAAATGAATCATGGTGAAAAAGTGGGGCAAAGTTGGGAAAAAATTAGGGTTTTCCATAACTTAGAAAAATTCTAAGTTATGAAAAATTCCATTTTAAACCCTAATTTGCATTTCTTGGTTTCTTGGTGAACAAGTTTCATGATTTGGCATGTTTTAATGAAAAATGAATCTTGACTTTTGATTTTGACCAAAAAGTCAAAGTTTGACTTTTCAGTGTACAGTCAAAATTGATCAATTGACTGGGAAATTCAACTGTCAATCTTGTGTACTTGGGATCTTTTGAGTTTGTTGAGCATGTCAAGGCAATTCCATGGGGTCCTTGAGACCATATGCGATCTAGGTTTTCCATTGGCTAGGTCAAACAGTCAAAAATTGCCTTTGTGCAGTCAAAACCCTAAAAATGACCATTTTGCCCTTTTGGTGATCTGATCAAATTTCTTGTGGAATTGTGATCCAAACTTGATCAAATGGTCCATATGAGTTCATAATGTTGATGTGGGTCAATTTCCATGAGATTTGACTGTCAATTGGCCACAGTTGACTTTTTCCCCAATACAGCTGATTATTAGGTCATCTGTCCAATTGACTGGGCAAAACTTGGAATCAAGACTTGAAACTTGGTATGGATAAACTTGGGAGTCCAATATGAAGCATGAAAGTCATCTTAGGCATTTTAGGTCAAAACATCTTTGTGCAAACACAAACCCTAATTTGGGTCCACCAGTGCAAGGGGAAATCTTGAGCAGAGGAAACCCTAATTGGATCTTGATCTTCAAAGGTCTTGATGAAAAAATGTGGAGGAAATGGGAGGGCAAATTTTGGGGTACAACAGGTAGCATCAACCAAGTTGTCTCCAACAGATTTGGAAACAACAAAGCTGGGGTACGTTGACCAAGAAAACTTCGAGATTTCGTTCATAGACAGTCTAATAGAGCAAGATTGGAGAAAGCCTATAGTAGATTATTTGCAAATTCTAATAGCTTCGACAGAACGAAATACAAAGTATAGGGCGTTGAGTTATATTCTAATGGGAAATGAGTTATTCAAGAAGACGCCTGAAGGAGTACTAATAAAATGCCTAAGTGAAACAGAGGCATATATAACCCTTTCGACTACACATGCTGGAGCATGTGCAGCACATCAAGTAGGCCATAAAATGAAATGGTTGTTGTTTCGACAAGGATTATATTGGCCTACAATGTTGAAAAATTGTGTTGAGTTTGCAAAAGGCTGCCAAGAATGTCAAGTACATACAGGCATCCAGCATGTACCTGCAAGCGAACTTCACTCAATTGTGAAACATTGGCATTTTAGGGGATGAGCTTTGGATCTTATCGGAGAGATTCAACCAACATCATCTAAAATCCAAAAGTATATATTGGTGGGTATTGACTACTTCACTAAATGGATTGAAGCAATTCCTTTAGTCAATGTAGACCAAGAAGATATCATTGAATTTATTCAAAAGAACATTATATATAGGTTTGGAATCCCTGAGACAATAACAACTGATCAAGAATCAGTATTTACGGGTCGAAAAATGCAAGAATTTGCTACAGAAATGGGATTCAAGCTGTTAACATCTACACCTTATTACGCGCAAGCCAATGGCCAAGTCGAAGCGACAAATAAGGTAGTGATTGGCTTAATAAAAAATCATGTAGGAAAAAAGCCAAAGAATTGGCATAAGACATTGGACCAAATCTTATGGGCATGTCGGACTTCTCCTAAAGAAGCTACCAATACGAAACCATTTCGATTAACCTATGGTCATGACGCAGTCTTGCCAGTAGAAATCTGTCTGCAGTCAACAAGAATTTAGAGACATTAAGATATTCCTTCTGAATCTTATTGGAATATGATGTTAGATGAACTGGTTGATTTGGACGAAGAAAGACTGATAGCTTTCGACCTCTTAAGGATACAGAAGAAAAGAGTGGGAAAATCTTATAATAGGAGAGTAAAACCCAAGACATTCTTGCCTGAAGATTTGGTGTGGAAGGTAATTCTCCCAATGGATCTAAAGGATAAGAGAATGGGAAAATGGTCTCCTAAATGGGAAGAACCTTTTAAGATTATCCAAGCATTTTCTGGTGGTGCCTATGAGATCGAAGAATTAAGTGAAGATAAAAGACTCTTGAGAGTAAATGGTAAATATTTGAAAAAAAATATAGACCTGCACTTTAAGAAGTTAAAATAATCAGCAATTGATCTCAGTCAAAGTATATAGCCAAAATGGAGAATTCATTAAGTTGGCCAAAATGGCTCCAAATCATTACATATACCCATTCTGAGGGTTTGAATATTCGTTACATAAGTATGGTTGTACAAACAAGTGATGATAATGCTTGCCATGCTTTCCTAGGTTATAGGGATAATGGTCATCATGGTAGCATATAACGGTTGACTGATAGTGACGTATTGGAAAAAGCGTAATGATGGCTCTGATATCAGCAGTGGTTGGTAGAAGACGAAAAGTTCACTGTGAACTTATGTGACCAAGAAATGGACAGGTGTCGAATAGAGGCATCAAAGAATGACTATTTCTTCTTGTATCGAAATTGACATTCTTGGGGGAAAATTTGTTAGCTCCTAAATTTGACACTCACATATATTGGCCTTATTGGCTAAAAATAGATTGAAGAAATCTAAAGATGAAGACACTTCGACAGAAGAGCCTGTGAAAGGAGTTGTGTCGAAGTCATCCTTGCTAAGAAGGAAAAAACACTTAGAGAATTTTCTAAGTTAAAGACAGTTTCGACCGAAAAGCTCTTGTATCAGCAGCAAGTGGATTTGAATCTGAAAAAAGGAGAAAAAGGGAATTCATTTGGCAGTTGGGAAAAGCGATGTGGCGTGAAGATAGGGGTCGAAGAGCATGCAAAGGACACTTGTCCTCATCCTGGAACGAAGTAATTGTTCGACAGTTACTTATTATCAATATAAATATAGAAATTTTGTGTAGAATTTCGTGTGTTCAACTCATTGTACAAGTCACTCAAATTTATTCAAGTACTCGCTGTGAGAGAAAGAATATTGAGAATGTACGTTTGAATCACCATACTTTATTGCAATCAAAGTCTTTACAATCCTTGTCATTTAACATTTCTCTGCAAACTTTACCATTACAACCTTTTAAATTACTGCACATTTACGTTATCCTGTACTTTACTTGCGTTTTTACCAAGTTTTTACCTTCATCCTGCGCATTTAAACCTATCCAAGCCTTTACTCTTAGTGTCTAGTTGAACTTGTTCATTAACAACGCTAATACTTCTTATCAAATCCCAAAAATACTTAGCATATGTCTTAGGATCAAACTGAACGATCCTGCAAGTAACCAAAATAACCTTTTTTGAAAGATCGGCGGTTGTTTACCAATTTTCACGGTAAACACCAATCCGGACCACATTCGTGACCAGAGTTCACCTACCCGTAGCTGGACATCAGCCCGACTCTTTAATGGATGTAACGTTCTTCGACGCATTAAACCTAATGTTACATGGATTTGAACACCTTCATTCATGGTAACGGTGGTTGTTACACAGTTGCGGAACCCAAGGATCACATCTTGATGATTGAGGCTCTTAAATGGCGCCAGAAGAAGACTATATAAGAGGCTTTCACCGGAGGAATAAGTAGGACATTCCTTCTTAAGACAAAATACATACTACTATTTTATCTTCCAAATCCTCAAATACTCTACAAAAATCTACCCCTTGTAACTCTCCCTAGAGAAATTATTGGTTTTAGTATTTTTTAGAAAGAAAAAAAAAACAATTATGATAATCTAATTTCTGTTTTATATTTCCATACTCAGCATTCAAGTTGAAAGTAACGTATCTAAATTAAAAATAAATATAAAACTAGAGGATAAAAGTCGACACTTAATTCAAAATAGGTACTACCCTAGGCAGGTATGGGTCGTTAATTAGATGGTTGCCGACGCCTTTACGCCCACACCATGAACAAAACCTCCAACTTTACGCCGACTCATTAGAAAGCAATGAGGAAAAAAAAACCACACGAGTATATGCATTTAATCTTAATTAAAAAAAAAACACCATCAACATTGACACACTTATTTTATTTCTGTTTCAGTTGTGTCCACATCGTTGAATCTTCAAACCCCACTCGCCCCTCTCACAATCTTCACTCCCATTCAATTCACCTACACAAAAACAAAACCCCTTCAATCCTATATTCAACTCTTTCATTTTCCTATGTGCAAAACCAAAATGGCCATTAACGCTTCTGCCCCAAAATCAACCCCACGTTCACAACAACAACAACAACGAACAAACCAAACACCAAAAACAACACCATCGTCATCAAAAACATCTTCAAAAACATCATCAAAAACATCATCATCAAACCCCACAAAACCCAAAACCCGTTCTTTCTCCGACAACCCATCCACCTCCTACGCCACCACAACCGGTTCAACCGGCTTCCGTCTCTCAACCGACACATCCATCTCTAGCCCAACATCCCTCACCACCCTCCGCAACACCCTCCCAGAAAACCCCAACATCTACGACTTCTCCGAAATCTGTTCCGCCACAAACAACTTCCTCTCCAAACGCTTCTCCTCCTCAACCCCTTGCTGGCACTGCACCCTCCGCGGCGCTGACGTCATCATTTTCCAACGCAAATTCCGACGCAAACTTCAAACCACTCAGCTCCGGGAACTTCTCTCCGTCGTCTGCCGTAGCCACCACGTCAGCATCATCAAACTCCTCGGCGTTTCAATCTCCGGCGAACATATTTACCTCGTGTACGAATTCGTTAACGGCGCTAATCTCTCCGATTGTTTACGTAACACCCGAAACGTTCATTTCACCGTTCTTTCTACATGGATTTCGAGAATGCAAGTCGCCACCGATCTCGCTCATGGACTTGATTATATTCACAACAAGACCGGTTTGAATTTCAACTTCGTTCATAATCATATCAAGAGTAGCGCGATCGTTGTTACTGAACCTGATTTCAATGCTAGGGTTTGTCATTTCGGCGCAGCGCAACTCTGCGGTGAAGCCGTTGAGAAAAACGAAACCACCACCAAACAATCGGGGGAAAAAGAAATCACGGAGGAAGCTAAATCGAATCCATTGAGAAGCTCCGATATGCAATTCGAAGGTGTTAGAGGTTACATGTCGCCGGAGTTTCAGTCCAGCGGCGTGGCGACGCAGAAGTCTGATGTGTATGCTTTTGGAGTGGTGATACTGGAGCTTTTATCCGGGGAGGAGCCGTTGAAGTTCAAGTTTGACGAGAAGAGCCGTGATTTTGTGAGGAAATCGGTGATTGAGTCGGCGAGATCCGCCGTGGACGGTGGCGAGGGTGGCGTGGAAGGGAAGCTGAGGATGTGGGTGGATAGGAGGTTGAAAGATTCGTTTCCGGTTGATGTTGCTGAGAAGCTGACACGTGTAGCGTTGGAATGTGTACACGTGGACCCGGATCAAAGGCCTAACATGGGACGCGTCGCAGGGAAGATTTCCACGTTGTATTTGAAGTCTAAGCATTGGTCTGATAACATGAAATTGCCTGATATGTCTTTTTCATTGGCTCCTAGATGACTTCTTTTGATTCATAGGACACATTTTAAAAATAAAAATTGATTTTTTTATTGAAAGAATAAGTCATTATGATAAGATTTTGATGTTAGTTTTTTAATTATTCGATTGTGACATGAGTTGTGGAAAATGTATATATATTTAGTTTAATTATTAACAGCGTGGTTATTTGGTTGGATGTATAGATTTTAAATATTGGAATTTATAATGTGGATTGATAGAAAATTAAGCAGCCATTTGTTTTATTCCAACATGCTTCGCTTTCAGATTTGAAGTTCAAACAAAGGTGGAATGTTGTCCGATGGCAATAGAAAGTGTATTTAAGTGGCTGACAACTAAGTATTCTTGGTGGTATAGCTTAGATGAGGTGTTGTTGGTTTTTTAGTTAATCATTTGAATTGGCCAACTTTTGAATGGGTAAAGTTTGAGTGAATTCTACTATCAAGCACTTACTCAAAAGATTACATGAACTACTTAATTTACCCTTTTACTCAAAAAATCTACACTAACAAATACCTATTATCGTAAATCACAAATTCAACCACACATCCTTCTCATTTTACTAACTACATTTAACATGTGTTGCACTCTTATTGGACACATAATTTTTAAATATTTTTCTCTCCTTTATAACAACACTGCACTTCGATCAAATGCCTCAGTTTTATCTCATATCTTAAAAAACATTTGTCTCTCAAAACCAGCTCACTCATCTCCTCTTTCTAAGCAAAAATTCTTCATTTCTCTTGCTATTAGGTCATTTCCACATCTCTAAACCATTGTCCGAGTCGGTTTTTGTTCCATTTCATCTTTATTCGATTTCAATAGTTGTTTTTCAAACTCATGAATTTTTTTTTTATTTCTTTTACATTGTCATGTTTATCTTTGGTTGTCAAGGTTTATCTTTTTCTTCAACATAACCTCTATTTGTCATAATATTCAGCATTTATTTCATTAACTGTGTAATTGTTATCTGTGTATGTTGGATTTTTCCATAAAAAATTGAAACTTTACCTTATTCAGCATTTCTTCTATTATTGTTAAAATAATACATCTTCATTTTCTATTTGTATCAGTTTTTGGAGGTTGGATACATATTTTTTTCATGCCTTTTAGAAATGTTATTTATGGTTTTTGTTTTTGTGTTATTACTTTTCTTATTTTTCTGTATCTGTAAAACAATTCTAACCTGTTTATGGAAAACTACTAAAGTTTATTTTTTTAGTTATATCTTCAAACTTTATAACAAATCTGTATGTTATTGTTGTTGCATTAGTCAGTTTAGGAAAATAACTATGTAAATGGCTCCCATTCTCATCAACGACCTTGTCAAAGGAAACCAAGTGTGGAAGAGGTATATCAGGGTTGTTGACCTATGTGTTGTTAAGGAGAAAACAGGCACAGAACATCTAGAAATGGTCATACAAAATGGAAAGGTATGGCAGTGTTATACAGTGGTATAAACTTTGACGTTTGTATTGTATACTGAAAATTGTTTTTCCCTATGATTAACAGAGCGATCAAATTCACGTCACCACTAGGAGTCGATACTTTAAAGATTGGAGTGACCAACTTAAAGAACATGAAACATATTATCTTTATAATGGTGAGCCGGCCGTAAATGATGGTCCTTTCAAATTTTGTTCCAACCAGTTAAAGCTTCTCTTCAACAGAGGGACTACCGTGACCAAAGTTGACATACCGGATATTCCGCCTCACACCTTCAACTTTCATGCTATCGACAACTTTCTCAATGGACGTTTCAAATCTGATATGTTGTATGGTGCGTGCTGCCATGTCCCTATAATTGCTTTTATCATAAAAACATTTTAATAACAAATTATTTTGTTTGTCATCATTGTAATCATATTGAGTATTTAATACATCTAATTTTTTTCTTTGGAGTAAATGTTATTGGCATTTTACAAGATGTTGTTAGGACACAAATGGGAGGTGGCGGCAAGAAGTCTTGTGCCAATATCACTTTACATGATGTTGAAGGAAATGTTATTGAGGTTGCGTTGTGGGATGATTTTGGCAAACAATTGCTGAACTGCACAACCCCTAACAAAGTTGTTGGTCCTACAATTCTCATCTTGACTCATGCTTGGTGTAACCCAAATACAGGTTTGAAAAGAAATTGTATTCCCATTTGCTACTCCAATTTATATTTAGATAGATTTTTGTTTACATAACAACCGACTATCCAAATTGTCACAGTCTCAGGATTACCAAGTCTTTCAAACGCTTGGAACGACTCCAGACTCTACATTAACTTAGACCATCTCCAAGTTGAAACATTCAAATCCAGGTAATTACCTATGTAATAGTAAATGAACAAAGTTTATATTCCTTTTTTTTGAGATATCACTGATGCCATATATTGTAATTTGCAGTTTTAGAGCAACTGACTTCACAAATGCACTTGCTCTTTCTCACTCACTAATATTTGATTCATCCATTCAATCAACTAACCAAAACTAGACTAACCGTAATGAGGTCAAGAGTCTTCGTGAAATTTACGACGGAGGAAAGGTATCTATAATATGTCAAATATAATTCTCAACCGAGGTGTATTTATTGTTAAGATTGTTTTGAATGTTTGATTTCTCAAATTCTAGGATTGCTTCGCAACAACTATTATGTATCTCTAATATGGGAAATATAATTCTAAACCGATGAGTATTTATTGTTAAAACTATTTTTAATGTTTGTTTTATCATATTTTAGGATTGTTACGCAACAACTATTGGAACTACCAAACGTTTCAAAGCATCCAGGTTCAGATGGTATTTTGAGTCTTGCCCGGAATGCAAGTCTTCTAACAAGTCACCCAGCGAGAAATTTGAGTGTCACTGTGGAGTTAAAGATGTTGAACCTGTCACTAAGTTAGCTTTTCCTATTTATAAGTTCATTAATGTTAATTATCCCAGTTTCATTGTATACTCTAATGAAAATCTTCATTTTAATGCATAAATTCAATATAGAGGTTGAAGTTGAATTTAAATTGGGTCTTTTATTTCAGGCCTGCATATTTTTCATACTGCTATTTTTATATTTAAGTAGTTAACCCATTTCTTACGCTACTGTTTCGTAGGAATACCAAGGGCACTGATGAATTAGTTGTACAACAATTGTTTGATATGTTGTATGAGCACAATACTCATGCTAAGAGCTTTAAAATGGCAAAACAATGGTTGAATGAAGCGGATACTCAAAATTTTAAGTTATGACTCATTTCGAATAGATCCACAGATGGGAGAGTATATAATCAACCTACAGTTTCTGAAGTTGCTGCCTTAGTAGTCGGTGATATTGACACGAGGGATATATTAATGCAATATAAAGGATGACAACTTCAGAGAATTAATGAGCTACATACGAGTTACATGGCATACCAGTATCCGCTAATTTTTCCATATGGTGAAGAAGGTTATAGACCTAATATAGCTCATAGAGGCTTGCCCATCTTCCAAAATAGCTTAAGAAATAGGCTTACAATCAGATAATAGCTTTCATATCGCATTAAAACTAGGTTATCTAGACCTAAGACTTTGTTAGCTTCGCGCAGGTTGTTCCAACAATTTCTGGTTGACGCTTACACGATGTTAGAGTCTGAAAATTTTGATTGGATTCACAGGAATCAACCAAAGTTTAAGGTGTCCAAGTACAATTCTCTAAATGAAGAGGGTGACCAATGACAAAATCTAGGTTCAAGCACCAGTAAAAGAGTTATTTTGCCTTCGTCCTTTGTTGGCGATCGTAGGTTTATGGATCAATTGTACTATGATGATATGGCTATTTGTAGTAAAATTGGATTTCTTGATTTGTTCATAACTTTCACTTGCAACCAGAATTGGCCTGAGATTCAAAGAGTACATGGACCACTTCATATGAAACCACAAGATCGACTTGATGTAATTGTTTACCGTGGTTATTGGTAAACAATCGCTGATCCTCCAAATGGTTACTTATTTGGTTACTCGCAGGATCGATCAGATTGATCCTAAGACATAGGTTGATTTTGAGGTTTTGATTAAGTTGGATAATGGTTAAATGACAATAAACTAAAAAGGCTTTAAGTAAATTGCATGAAGAAGGACTTTGATAAAATAAATGAAGGCTTGAAATGAAGGGCTTCGACAGGAAAAGTAAAGAAGAAAGCAAGTAAAGTTTCTGGAAAAGTAAATGACTTTGAATAATAAAAGTGGTGTTTCACACATACATTCTCAACAATTCTTTCTCACACGCTGGGTACTCGAATCTATATGAGTGACTTTGTATATAATTGTGAACACACGCGAGAAACTGCGTGAACTACTACTATTTATACTAAAACATCCCAAGTAACCGTCGGGCAGTTACACTGCTTCGAGATGACTCCACTTGGCACGTTCTCAGCGTTCGACGCTCCAGATCTTTGCACGTTGCACTTGGTAACCGCTGGAAACCGTTTTCCCTCCAAACGCTTGAATTTCAAACCATTCCACTCTGAACCCTCGAACACCTTCGTCGAGAAGCACCTTCGACGAGAAACACCTTCGACGTCGAAGGCAACCAACTTCTCCCTTGGAAGAAATCCTCTAAGTACATTGCCATCTTTCGATGGGCATTTCGACGGACCCAGCTAGTCGAAAACATCCTTCAGCTTTAATGGCTGACATTAATAAAACAAGGGTGTCGAGTTTAGGAGCCAACAAATTGCCCCCCAAGAATGCCTTATTTCGACTCTGAAAGAAAAAGGCATTCTTTGAAATGCCATTCGACACCTGTCTTTTCATTCTTAGTCACAAATTAAATTGTGCACTTTTTGTTGTCTTCTACCAACCACTGACAATCCCAAGGAAAAGCCATCATTCATCCGTACCTAAGACGTCACTTCAGTACGGCGTGCAGTGTGCTAAACGTCTTTTCACAAATTATCATCATGACAATTCCCAAAAACGAGGGTGCACGCTGCACCCTTCCATTTCTGCAGAACGGCTACAACAACAGGGAAACGCCACGTGTCCCACTACCTTCTGCAACATTAAATGGCATTTAATGTCCTCGAATTTGGGGATTTCCCCAACTACTATAAATAGTGGTAAGTACCCATTGTGGGACTTTTTACGCTACCTTGCTTTCAGAATTCCTCATTTGCATACAAACTCTTGTCAACTTTGCAAACCACCCGTTCTTCGCTTCGTCTTCAACCTAAGTATCAACAAATGGCATCTGGTTCATCCAACGCTCCTAGCGCCAACACTCCCTCTGGAAATGTCAAACCTAGGATTTTCTCCACCGCTCCCGTAGTGACTCCCACGGGTCAACGAAGGGTCCCTGAGCCTTTGGACATTGCTGTACGTGATGCTTATTCACGCCACCTCATGATTCCGGTTGGATATTCCAACCAAATCTTTGCTATGTCTGGCCCATTATACCCAAGCATTGCTGAGGCCATGAAGATCAAAAGTTACTTTCCGGTACTTGAGAGACTCAAACCGGTTGGATGCTCCAAGAAAGATGCAGAGGATAATGAGGATCCTGCTAAGGAGAGAATCGACCTCCGTTTCTTCAATAAAGGCGTTAGGGCTTTCAGGTCTGGCCCTAGCCTCACTCCTGATTATAGTGCTTGGCTGGAAAAAATGGAGAAACGCCAGGCTTCGATCTGGAAAGACATGGGGATATTCGACCTGGTTATGCTATCGAAGACAGGTCTTAACTATTCCCCAGAGATGTTGATAGCTTCTTTACTCTTCTGGGATTACACCCATTTCACCTTCCATCTTCCCTGTGGAATGTTGACTCCCACGCTCTTCGACGTGGCCGCCATCACTGGCCTTCGACCCACTGGGGACTACTTCGACCCGGAGGAAATGTCGGAGGATCAAATTGGATTCTCTGCCACAAAACCAACCTACACCACCTTCATCAATCACTACCACGATAAGTCGACAGAGGCTGTGTCGGATGTCGAACATATTGCGTTTCTAGCCTTATGGCTGACACGCTTTGTATTTTGCTCCAAGTCCTTACAGGTGACCAAGAAGATGGTCACTCTTGCCACTCAACTCCACCATGGCCAAAATATCTGTTTGGCAGAATTGACTTTGGCTAGTCTGTATGAGTCGATTAGCAACGGAGCGACTCTTCTGAAGATCATCGAGAACAGAGCTAGTCTGCTGCTTGCTGGACCTTTTTGGCTGCTTCAACTGTGGCTCAATGCCACCTTCGAGTCTTTCTTGCCTAAGAAGATTCAAATAAATGAGCAGGCTCCAGAAATAGCAAACAGACGCGTCGAAGGCACCAGATTGGCTCTGTTGACTCCAACGGAAGATAGGCTGGAGCTTCAACAAACTTTTACAAACTTCGTCCTGATGTTTGCTAAAAGGAAAGAGTTTGCTTCGACCATGGCTCCATTTGCTCGACGAAAGGTTGGCCCAGAGTGGTTCACAAGGCCACATCCCAGGACGTCGAGTGGTCCTCAGGTCGACGAACATACAACATTGTGGGAGGCATTTCTCACACCAAGAATAATGCCCATGCGATTCAAGAGCTCTAAGACTCACTTGAGTCTGATCGCGTATCAACCAAACCTGGTGTCTCGCCAGTTTGGTATTATTCAAACACTACCTTCTCCAATTTTTCCCAGGGAGAAGTCTATGTTATACTTCTGCAACGACTACACTGAAGAAGCTGCCACTA